AAACACACAAACATTTTTCATATGATGAACCTTTCATTACTCCAAGTATAATTCTAGCTGCATTATATTGTATATGAGAAGTAGATTTGTTGTTGTTATTTTGGTTAGATGTTTTCTCAAAGTGTTGCTTTCTTTCATTCATGTTATTATTAACGGTCTTGCTAAATTCAACCAAAACAATACAATTAGACAAATTAATGATTTGTAGATTAAATCGCTTGATAAACAGACAGGCCAAGTTTTGACTTGAGACATTTAATTGTTCGAAGAAAATAATTTATCGACCATTGCTCTCATAACGGCAGCGGCCACTGGCGTAGCCAATGGTAAAAGAGATGCACCAGTTTTCATTAGCGGATTTTCACCATTTTTAACTTGCTTGTATATTTCATTTTCCTGTTCATTCAACGTTGATTCAACAACTGGTATGCCAATATCATCCAATATTTCTAGTGCACCCAAGCCTAGTTTTGACCAATTACACTGTAAGTATGCTGTCAGGCAGGTGATCGAAGGCACTAAGACATAAGTAACTCGTCAAGGTTATTACAAGACTTTGCTAGCGTCGAGGTTCGAACATAGTATCTTTGAAGTACTTGACGAGCAACATAACCACCAAGCCATGAATGTATAAGAGTTTCGTCGACCACAAAGCGAAGGAGATACAAAGGACATTTAACACTCCTTGAATAGTTTTTCGTGACGGAGACTAGATGAAATAGATGCTACACATTCCTGGATGGAGAGGAGTGGAAGACCAGCAAAGCATCTTCTTGCATTTCTGATTCATATGTGTGGCGCGAAAGCTCTATTAACATTAACCATGTTTCTCAAATTTCCCGCGGGATCTAACTTCGAACATTCAGATAAGCAAATATAGTTTTTGTAAGATGGAACGACGGGTGACTACCTGGTCCTCCGCCTGCGCCGTCTCAACGTAAAAGCTTTTTTGAACTCAAGAGCCCAATGGAGACTCTTTGAAGATTTAAAGATACCAGGTTTCCTCGCTGGAACCAAACATTTGTTCTGAGCAAAATGATTTTTACCACAGTATTATCTTACCTGGTGTATCCCACCAAAAAATATTGTATTTATCCATATGTTTCTCGGTTTTGGTTGTACATGCATTCATTTCGGCCGATGTTTCTATTGTATCGTCGCCGGATACTTGCTTTATTAATGTTGATTTTCCCACACGTGCCGGTCCAAATACCAATATTTCAAATTCAGAAGAGATCTTTTGAATTCCTCGAGCGTTAACGATATTTGTTCCGTATTATGATACCTTTGAACGTAATTCAACAAGTTTATTTCTTAGGTACTCAATTAAATCCAATTCAACTTGATCTTGTTCGTGCTGTTCATCTTCTTCAGAAACTAATTCGTCATTGATTTCGTTAGATAATGCAGCCATTTTTTTGATGTTGTTACGATGACTGACAGCTAGTGATGAAGCGTGTAAATAGTATAGTTTGAATGACAGGAAAAACAATCAGTAGCAACCGTATATATTTTATATATTTATATGCGATTATTAAGTTCGGAATATTGATATCGTTCAAAGTTCAAAAACTATCTAAAAGTCAGCTGCCTTTTCGAATCGTTTTCGATGCCTGAGGCAAAAGCGTTCTAGAATTCTAGTCCTTCTAATATTCTATTTTTGAACCAAGGCGTTACGGATCATTAATTCTTTCTGACTCTATTATTCTTGCGAAATCGTATATACCTGAATCATGTCTATAGAGTTTTTATTATAAAAGAAATGATCTGTCAGTTCCATTGAATCTTGGTGTGTTCGTGCGAATAGCTAAAGATTCTCTTATGAGCAATTAATAAAGCCGATAAGCTAATATGTTGACTTTGTCAAAATTAATAGAGTGATCAGCTTTAAATACATACTTACTTAAAGCTGATTGACAGAGTTTGGACTCTGGCATATAAATTTGTTGAATATTAATTTACCAGATAGTCATCAATTAATGCAAACGTGTGTACTGGCATGGTATGTGAAACCATTGTCTTGATAAGTGTAACAACTACATTTGCCGTTTTTCATTATACTGAAGTGGATTCATTCGTATTTGCAACACTTTCTCCTTTACTGTGTTTGACCAGCTTTCACATCAGTACATCATAAACACAAGAGTATCTATCGTTTTCTTGTAATTTTGAAGTGAAAAGTATTCAGAATCTAGACATCCTCTCAGAACAAATACATACGACTTGGACACGTAACTCTGATACCGCAGTGTAATTCCGTCACGTTTTTTTTTGCACTTTGTCTCTTCTATATTTCTCGAATGAAGACATGTTCAGAGCTCGGCAATGACTCATTTCAAAGAAAAAAGAGTGCTGAATATTTTCAAGATTTTGCACATATCTACACCATTGACAAGTCCGAAAACAGCGTGTAGAGTGTGCAAAATCTCAGAATATTCAGCACACTTTTCTTTTTGATATGAGTCATTGGCGAGTTCTGAACATGTCTTCATTCGAGAATTATAGAAAAAACAAAGTGCAAAAAAAACGTGACGGAATTACACTGCGGTATCAGAGTTACGTGGACTAGTTACACAGCTATTTATGTGTTTCAAAATAATCAAACTAATAAAATAGGTAGATGACACATTGAACGTACGCACTAACATAAGAAGCATGTCATTGCAGCTATCGATCATCACACATATATCTGTCTCCATCGTCTGTGCAATGCACTATCCATTGTTCTGACAAGTATAAAAGGTTGCACTCTCGGTCATCTTCCTCACAAAATATTATAACT